AGTGTCTTTAGAATGAGGGTTTGTGGCTGAATTATTGGAGGTTTTCAGAGCGCTTTGGAAACCTGTAGTGAAAATCCCTGGAAAGGCTGATCCTGGCGATACAGTGATGATACCCCATGTTCTTGTTCTTAGTGTGTGTTCCAGAAATATGTCAGCTGTGCATATAATTAGAGAGAGCATTGTCTTTATTCCCTTTTTCTTCTCCTCATTAAGTATATTTATTTGTGGTGCTGGGACATAAAAGTGGCCCCTCACCTGCCTAGCCTGGTACTTATCTTTGGCCATAACAAGGTGTTTGCTAGGAGGTGAAGAAGGACCTGTAATGAACAGTGACTCTGGTCCCTAGACCATGCCCAACATTCCGATAGTTAATCTGATCTTCTGCACACTGAGAAAGTTTTTTCTTCACTCCAGACAGAAAGTGGTTGGCAGTGCTCTGAAGTCTCCTGTAAAACAGGAAAAATTATTCTCAGGTCTGTTGTTAAGAAATGCTCGTGGGCATTTCTCCTGCACTGATGTTACATGGTAAAAGCATCGAGGAACTTTTCTCTTTGGGCTCTTTAGTTTAAACAACCAACTGACAAGAATAATTGATTTTAGTGGGAACTAGGACTTTCAGCTGGAAGACAAGCAGTATCCAGGGTATGTCAAAACCAAATGTACCTGTGGCATTTCTTCTAGCTACCTCCCTCTTCTTATGAGCAGGACACTTTTCCAAAATATCTAAGTCCTTACTATTGTAAATTTACAAGGCTGGGATTTTGTGAATTCTTCTGATGGGCACGGAGAACATAATTTTATTTACAACCACCTTCTCATACTGAGAAACTGCTGTGTCTGGGAGAGTGTGATTTAATATTTGACTATTCCTATTGTGATTATTATTGTTAAATCCAGTTCTTTGTTACCCCTTCTTAGTGATGGCCAAATTGTAGATGAACGTAAGATGTTGGAAATGTAAACTTCTGCATCACCCAATTACACACAGAGAAATAGTATTTTCTAGGGCATGATTCACCTCACTCGAAGGTAGACAACTGAAATAGCCGAGATGAATCACACTCCAGATGTGTCTCCTTCTCTTCACTGATTATAAAGGAGTCCAGATAACTGTCTCGGATGCTGTGTGGTAGACACCTAAAATTACAGGAGATAAGTCTCTTTCAAGGTCTTTGGCTGAGTATGTCTGGACCACAGTGCTAAGACCCAGGTTTGAAACCAAGAGACGTGAACTTTCTGGAGTGAAGAGCTCCTATGTTGAATTCTCTCAGGAAATAATGTTTTATCCTGACCTTTCTCTAGTTCATCATCTCTTGCTGCTGCAGGTGTCAGGTTCTGTCTCTGTAATCCTGCCCTGAAAGAGTCAGACGGCTCCACAGATGCAGCAAGATGTCTTGCAAAATAAATTAAACTGGATCTTTTAATTTTAGGCTGATGTTCTCTCAATGGACCCAGCACGTGCGATGGCTGGAACTTGGATTCTGCCATCCCGCTGCCGTCCTTTTCTCACAGGCTGAACTGTATTTGTATTTTGGAAGGCCAAGGCTTGCTTGCAGGCTTCCTGGCATGTGGATCCCTTTCTTGGGCTAACGATATGGACCAGGGCCTAGAAAGGACCAGCTAAAGGGGCCTTTCTTCTATCTGCTGGCACTGGGCAGTGAAAACCAAGAACTTACAGCCTTTCTCCTTGAGTATCAAGAAACACCTTGCAAAGCTACCTCAGCTCCTGACATCCACCGAAAGCATCTTCCAGATCTCTGCGTTAGCAGCAGAAATAGGCCGAGCACCCCCCCGGCTTTTCTGGCCCCTGCAAGTCCCTGCCAGCCCTTGCCGCTGGCCAAGCCGTGCTCCTTGGAGCTGGGATTTTGTGCCTCGGACTCGGAAATGCAAAGTAGGCTAGGAAGCTCTAAAACACAATCCCTCTGAAGTTTGGTTTCAGTGACGTTTCTGTGGCAGTTTGTGCCCAGAACTGCCTGTGTGTGAAGTGACAGCAAAGTCTATGTCAGCTGAAGCAGAAAAAGCAGAAACACGGCTTCTGCGTAATAGCTCCGTTCCTGGTTCATCATCAGTGAAAAATGGACTAAAATACCCAATGGCATTGAAAAAAGGAACAAGTGTCAGGCCAACCTGATTTATTTTGTGGAAACTGATTTTCTAGACAAAGAGAATGTACTTGACTTCGTTTATTTAGATAAGCTAAATGCAAGATCACAATGAGCCACTGGTGGGAGGTAGCCATGGGAAAAAGGGGCAGATGTTATGTATTACTGCAAGATTTCTGTGACTCTAATAAATACTTCACGCTGTTTCACAAATCTCTGGTAAGGTCTCTTTGGAAATAGTATTTACAGTTCTGTTCATCTATGTTCAGGAAAGATGCAGGCAAAATATCTAGATGCCTAAAAGGGCTGGTGAAATGCTCAGGGAAAGGAAGAGCCAAGACAAGGCTGAAAGAGCAGAGCTTGCTAACCTGGGAAAGCACAGGGGCGAGAGGGACAGTGTCCATAAATACGGCAAAGGGGAAACACTAGTGAAGGAGAAGAGCTCAGTCCTGGCAGAAGAACAGATGACTGTTAACTGGTCTTGAATATATTAAAGGGGTTTTCTTCAGCTGTGAAGTCTTCACCCCTTCCAGATCTGTCTTGGGGTTCTTTGTGGTTTAAACTGATTCATATTTATGAAAGCACCTAGAAACTTTGATTTAGAGCAACGCAAGGTGTTGTGAGGAAGCACTGAAACATATCGCTACCTGTGTTGACCATTCAGTTGTTGCACTGGAAACAGAAATCAATCTTTATAACTGTTATTTTTCCAGATGTAGCTACCTTACTTTGCTAAGTGAGGGCCCAAAGCTGGGTGAACTGAGGGTCCTGCACCACCTGGCTTCAGCTGCCACTAGTTTGGATGGGATCCTCTGGTGCCTAGCTCCTCGCAGCTTTGTATCGAAAGCCCAAATGTGAGATAAATCCACAATAATACAGTAGACGCCCTCTGCGATAAGTTCAGCACATCGATTAGGTGCATTGCTTGATTCTTCGATGAGACCTTGTTATTAACCCGTGCCTTTGTTTTCTGTCTACTGTCAGGTGAGGCTTGTGTATAGAAATCCCCTACATGATATACGAAGAAGCCATGTTTCTTTTACAGCTGATTTTGAATTATAAAGGACAATTTGTCAAAATGGAAGTAGGAAGAACATTGCTTTACTTTATCTACTGCAGGAACAAGAGGTCCGCTGACTAGATACATCTTGGCTTTGAGGATGAAAGGCCCTAAGTGTCAAGTTAGGCTCTCTTAGATCTTGCTGCTTTATGTACAACTGACTCTAATAATTGAAGAGCTGAAACTGCAACTGTAATTGTCACAAACCTAAGGAGCTTGATTTCTTAAAGGAAAGGCAGTTCAAGGAAAATGGTAAATGAGGTCCTTTAATCTGTTGACTGAATTGCCTGTAGGGACTTGAATGCTCTTACATGTTTGTGCTGAGAACCCTGCAGCAGTGCTAGAAGGTTTACTGCAAGTTCTTACTGTGCAGGTAGTTATTAGCAGGCATTTTGGTAAGCCAAAGTTATAAAAGAGCCGTTAAGAGCACTCTAACCATTCCCAGTGCTTCTGCACTTACATAACTGCTGCGACGGGTTATTGTCTTTATGCTTTGTATTGCTTGCCGAAATTGAAAGGATATCTGTGGCTGTTAAAGTCTTGCCATGTGGAAGGTCTGTAATGGTTGCAGTGCTGAGCATTTTGTGAGCTGAATTCTGATTTGGAGGTGAGTCCAAGTGCGTATTCAGTGCGTCTCAGGCGACAGAATTAATGAACAAGGTTCGGGATGGCTCTGACAAGCTAATAAGCACATGGGTAAAGTCTATATTTGTCGGGCAGTCTTACTGTTCAGTGCAGAATTCCTGCAGTGGACGAAACATAAATATGATTTATTATTCTGTTAAAAAATACATGACTACCATTCTGAGGAGCAGCGGGTGTCCCAGGCATGGATGGATGATTTGTCTTGTGGATGCACAAGCATCAGTGTTGGGATGAGTCCTTACCGCAAGCATTAAGCAGGAGTTTTATATATATAAAACTAGGTGGCTCACAATGAAAATGAGAACCGGTTAGGTCCTTGCCATGGTGCTGGTCCAGCTCTAAGGCAACCGTGTGCTCCACGTGGAGAGACGTTCAGTAGGTCCTGTCGGACACAAGTCTGGCCTCAGTCCAGTTTCTAGTGGGCAGGTATCTGCACCCTGAAGGCTGTCACAGCAGGCAGCACCAGCAGGTTTCTTGTGGGCAGAGCGAGGTTTGAATGTGCCGAGGAGCTGGGCAGTGCCCCAGGTCGGGTCTGAAACAGGTCAGCAGGGTGCCACGGTGCCCTTCTTATCTGCTGTGTAGCTTGAAGATTTCAAAAGCAAGGGATGTCAGTACATTACCAGCACTAAACAAATACTGAACTCTCAATTTAAAAAAAAAGCGTTCTTCTGAATATGTTTGCCAACTTTGCTTGGATTTGCATGGAAAGCCTTCTGAGCCTCGAGCTGACATTTGATCCTTTAACTGAGCAAACTTGCTCTGAAACAAAAATTCCTTTGCAGGACACCATCGCTCGCTTGGTTTTGCCATTTTTGGGAACTCCCAGCTATACATTATGCTAACCAACTGTACCTGAAAGCCATGTACCTTGATAGATGTGCATGCTCGTAAATACGGCGTGGCGGTGGCAGGGGAGGTGTTGCTTTTCCCATGCGTAGGGCCAGGATCTGAGAGGTGCTGAACATCTGCACGCCGTGCTCGCTTGCGTGGCATGGTTAGGAGCAGAACAGCAGACTGCAGAAACGGTCGCAGGCTGGATTACATCACGTGAGGGTGAAATTGTTACGGATTGGGATGAAGGAAAACTGTTTTACTTCGGCTGAGCGCTTTTTTCTGTGCTGCTGCTGTGCATGTGCTTGCGTTGGGAAACCGAGCTTTTATTGACTGCTGGTTTTCTGTTTTCAAAGCTGATCAGTGGTGGTTCTATTGTAAGTGCTGAGGCAGTATGGGATCACGTCACCATGGCCAACCGGGAGTTGGCGTTTAAAGCAGGAGACGTTATCAAGGTCCTGGATGCTTCCAACAAGGACTGGTGGTGGGGTCAGATCGATGATGAAGAAGGATGGTTTCCCGCCAGCTTCGTGAGGGTGAGTGTCTTTCTTCTTTTTACCGCTACAATGAATCACTGCTGATGCTGTTCGGAATGGTCAATGAACTGAACTGTTACTGTGTTTGTTATCTTTGATGCTTATTTCCAGCGCCTCTGTTTTCTGTCCGAAAAATGAGCGAAGAAGGTTTCAAAAGAAATGAGAGTGGGGTAGAGGGAGGCTGGAATAGGTTATTGGCTCTTGGGGTATGGAGTGGCCTTTGCTGTGTGTTTCGACATGATGTAGCCTCCCTCCTTAAGCAGTTCTGTGGAAAACCAGTTCAGTGTTGTGTGGGCTATCAGGTGTAGGTGATTTGGTGGGGCCTAAAGGTTCACACCGGCTACAAGTGACCTGCATTCGGATGCGCACAGAGAGGTGTCAGCCCTCCCCTTTCCAAAAGCAGTGCTGTGTTTTGACTTTTCAGCAGTTTTGGATGTAAAATTACTTCACTAATTAGTCCGTGACCAGCTCTGGTTATTTTTTTTGAGGAGACAAGAAACCATTTTGCTTGTCTCTGTTTTTCTGCTGAAGCAGGTTTTTGCTGTACCCAGCCAGTGGCGATCTGGCCTTTCACAAATAAGAAGGATTTCAGCACTTAATTTTTTTTACTCAGTATGTGTTAAGAAAGCAAAGGGACAAGAAGATGCCCTTTTTGCTATTGTCAGCTCCTGCCACATTATTTGGGCACTCTCGAGCCTTCCTCAGGGAGTCAAGACGTCGGCTCTGACCTTGTGCACTTCCTTCTCCTCTCCCTTCTGCGCAGGGTTCAAGAGGCGGGATCAGAGACTTAATTCCTTTAGAAGCTTAGGGGATATGGTTCAAAAAATGAAGATTTCTTTTGCCTTGTAAAATTGTGTGAAAGATGACTCTTTCCTTTGAGCCTCCCAGGCAATTTGACAAGCTCCGTGGCAGTCGAGGGGAAGACAGTTCTCTCTGCAGCGCACACTGAAGACATGCCGCATCCCAAGGAGACGCCATGTTTGCTCTGGTTCCCTGCCTGCCTTACCCTCGCTCTGAGCCCTCCCTCTTTTGGGCAACCCTGCATTATCAACACCTCCTTTTGATTATATCGCTTCATCTGGGAAATATGGATTAGGAAAATTGGGTTAAAATGTATGACCTGTTGTTTCCTGGTGAGGTACAATGACCACCGATAAGGGAACCCAGACCTCGCTTCTGCCTCCCCAGTGCACGATTTTTTTTCCCCCTGTGGGACACGTGATGCAGCTCTTCTGTCTCTCCTAGGTCTGGCCAGTGCTAAGAGCAAGAGATCAGTGACTGGAGCTGGAGCCTGGGCTGCCTGCATGAAAGAGCTTATGTTGTTATTTTGGCCCAGAATAACAAGTAGTGTTTAGTATTTTGTTGAATAGGACAGCATGAGTCTGACCCTCGCAGCCAGTGGCGATAGCGAGTTTGGAAAATGGATTTGCATCAGGTGTGAGCAAGATGATAATCTTATTGCAGAAAATATTCTCACCTGTGTCACTAGCACATCTCATCTGTGTTGCTGGCTGGAAAGGCTGAATTAGAAAAATCTGTCTGTCTGATTATTTTTGCTTAATTTGGAGACTGAAATATTCTGGGCCGGTTTAACTTTTCAGTGCATTGACCAGTGCTGTTTTGTTTTGTGATTGAGGGGAAAAGATTTAATATCTTTTTTTGTGTGATGTTGTAAACATACTGTTCACGGTAGGTTTAATAACAGCCTTGTTTTGTGCTATCCTGTTTTCTAAAAAACCACACCAAACAACTAAACAAACAAGCCCGTTTACTCTAAGGCTCAAAACCATGGATCATTTGACTTGGCTGAACTTTCCATCTCTCCCTACGCTTTCAAAGACTGGGAGGATGATTTTAGAAACTGGTAAAAACAAAGAAGAGGAATCAATGAATCTCAGACTGTTGTACACAAATGTCTGAACATCATCCTGGAACAAACCTTGGTGCTTAGGATCATGATGGCCTTACCAGGCAAGTTTCTTGCTCATTCTGTCTAATGTCACAACCCCGTGGCTTGACTTCACTCCAACAAAATCAATCTTTCCATCAGCTCTGCAAGAGGCTGGCTCGGTTCTTCCATCTGTGAGACACTTGTTCAGCATGGGCTGGGACCAGACACCTGCCCTGGGACCAAATGATGCGCTCCCAAAGGGGGAAACTGCATGGGTTTGCTGCCATGAATGATAATTAATATTTAAAAATAAGTACCAGACATTTCAAAAAATATGCAAGTGGAGTTCTGGCACAGTTTGTCCGCAGCTCTGCAAGGGAGGCTGAAGGGGAAAATTCGCCACTCGGGTTTACAAAACAGAGCTGCCTTCTCCACGCAGCACTTCTCGGTGTGCTGCCACGAGGCAGCCCACTCGCTGGTTGTCCTGTGCTGAGAAAACAACTGCCATTTGGGCTGTCATGTTCTCCTCTCCTCTGTTGGCTGAGGTCGCTTGCTTGCCTCTTCATTTCTATTCTTGCATATTCCCCCCCGCCCCCTTCACTCTCTGTCTTTCTTGGTAAGTAATTTGAACCAGATGTCTGCAAAGCCTTTGGGGCCTTTAGAGAAGGTGCCTGTAACCCCTCTTTTGCTTGCAGGACCATTGTGGCAGGTTTATGCTCCTTCTGGGTCCTGGCAAGGACCGTTTAACCTGAACACTTTTCACTTTGCTCTTCTCTCCATCTTTTTTCTTGTATTTCTTATTCAGCTGATTGCTCTTTCATAATGAGGAGGCTGGGTTTTTTCTCTGTTGTACTTTGAGCCCTGCATTTTTAAGACGATGCCAGAAAACTGCCTGATTTAGCCTGGGTGGTTCGTTTTACTTGCAAAGTAATTGCTTTCCTTTATATCTGTATTTCTCTTATGCAAGTACAGGAGGAAAAGGGAACAACACGTTGCATAGCAGAGGATGAAAAGCAGTTCAGGTAAGGGATGACAGGACACACCAGACAGGTATAAAACCAAATAGGATTAATTTCAGGATATTTTACAGGACTCTTGTAGGTACTGACAGGGGGTGCAGCAGAAGATCACTGCAAAGTCAGATTCCTCTAAAAGTCATTTGGATCGCTTCTGAGGACAAAACTGGGCTGGAAACCTAGTTTGCAATGAGACGTCTGACGCTTCTTGCTCTCCAGCCAGATCATATGAAAATCTTTGGCAAAGCATTTGGCACTCACAAAATCTCATAGCAGGAAAAATTCACATTTGCAAGTGCAGAGGAAAACAGTAACCTGCTGATTCCCCTGGCCTCTTTTACACGTATAGTTGGGGGGGTTGCAAACAAAAACTGCACTTGAATTGCCTGCATGTACCGGAACTGTTGTCTCCATGCATAACACCTGCAGTTATCCTCTTAGTAGCTTGAGACTTGGCTAGAAGAAAGGGGGAGAGAGGAAAGCCAGAGTTTTGGGAGCACAGGAACTTTAAAGGAGAAACTGGATGATAAAGCGATGCTCTTTGAGAAAAAGAAAAAGCGCAACATAGGAGAAATAAAATTTGGAGCTAGTAAGCAATGGTGAATGGTATCCCGCAGGAGGCTGCTGCACTCAGGGAGAAAGTTATGAAAACCCGTAAGTCATTAGAGAGGCAGAGGAGAACTCCAGAACTAGGTTTAAAGCTGAATAATGAGCTGGGTTTAGGACAGATGAAGGTATCTATGTTGTATTTTAGCGCATGTTATCAAGTGAGCACGCTGGACAACCACAGGGTGCAGCCACCAATCTTGTGATTAGCTGCACTGTGTCTTTGAATGTCCTGTCGACTTTTAGGGGGCTGAAAGGGTGGGGGGTACAATTGGAAAAAAACATAAACAGGATTTCATATACTTGTAGTGGTGAGGCTACTTGTTGCTCTTCTCTCCTTTGTGGATGGCATAGCCTCGGGCTGTCTTTACATGATGTGGTACAAATGAGTTTTTGCATACCAGCACATCCACCATCCACATCCGCTCGAAAAAATAGGCTTAGTGTTTGTAGAGAGGAATTTATAGCACAGAATAATACTCCGGTACTGCAAATGGGTCAATTGTCGTACCTTAAGGTCTCCTTCAGAAAATACAGTAAGTCTCAAAAGAAAGTTGTGATTGCAGAGCCCAACATCAAGTCTCCAAAATCACCCGGGTGAGATTCAAACACTCCAAACACAGGAAATCAAATGGCACCGTGTTTGGGCTCTGACATATTTCCACTGAAAAAGAAAGAAAAAAATGAAGGGATGTTTAGTGCTGTGAAATCTTTCTGTAGAGGCACAGCAGACTGCACCCATCCTGGGCAGAGAAGGGGATTTATTTTGTTGTACAGCTCTCCTTAATCTCTTTGGATACCAAGAGGCAGACTGAGTTTCCAGAATACATTTCTTCTCACCTCAGTGGCAGTGACTCTTCCTTCCATGTATTTACTAAGCTAAGCTAAAGAGCAAGTCTGGGGTTGAGGAGGTTTTACTAAACTTCTTGTAGTGCCCGGTGACTGTTGGGTTGTTGTGCAGAAATGAAGGGTAACAGTCCTCCAAAGGCTTGAGTAAAGATGGTGTATAAATGCTTTGTGGTCTGTACCTTTTACATAGGAGAAAATGCAGGAGTGGATCAGTGCAGCAATGCTCCTTGTTCTCTCTCATCTTTGCCTAGGTTTCCCCACGTGTTGTAATTTTAGATTG